GATTCTTGAGTTGGTACTATATTTATTGATACTTGTTGTCCAAGTTTAGATTCTAGCTACATTTGCATTGGAATTTAAGAAAAATGAAAAAGACCAAAGTGGATATTTCGTACAAAATAAATAATTGTGTCCACAGACAGTTTGGCATTCATATATAAAAGAAAAAAAGGAATAAAGAATTGAACTAAATATATATATTTTAATGTGGTCAATGTTTTTTAATATGAAATTGACAGTTGTATTGTGAACAATGAACATGTGCAATAATGGACAACACAATTGAGTTGTTGGAGTTTAAGTGGTTTGAGAGTACTATAAGATCACATCATTACAACCAAGTGCTTTGGGTGTTAATTATGAAGTTTTGCAATTTATGGCTAGAACAATTGTTTGTCAAATTATGTGACATCATATATTTTTAAATTTATAATTTATAAATTTATATGACGATAAAAAATTTATTTAATAATGAATTTTTTATTACGAGTTTATAATTTATTTTATTATTTATAATTTATTATATTTTTTCCATTTTTAACTTTATTATTTTAATTAATATTTATTTTTATTTGTTTAATTTATTTTAATTTAAAATAAAATACTTATATATTAAATTCAAAGAACTGATTTTTTTTGTTATTTTGGCTAGTTTTTTTTTTACAAAAGCAAAATTAACTTCTTTAATCAATAAAAGTTCAATACAAGGAGAATCTTTGTCGCCTATAGAGGCAATCAAAACATTGGATTTTTAAGTAGGATCATTGTTGCCCATAAGGGTGATAAAAACGTCAAATCCATAAACATGATTCTTGTCACCCCCCGGAGGATTATTATGTCCTAAAATACAAATATAAGGTTACACTGATGTCACTTAACAATGTCGAAGCCACTCAATATTACAAAAAGTAGTATATCACAAAAGATCAAATCACGAGGAATTACTCGTTGTCCATTGATTGACCGTACCGAACCACTTGAAAGGGATTCACCGGGCTTAGGTCCAGATCAGAATAAAGGAAGACGACAAGTCTTCTCGTCCTTTTAAAATGATGAACGGAGATTTCCACAACTTCGTCCTTAAGTAGCGAGACTCTCTCCTTCAAACTCTATAGCGTGTTGTGATCCCTCTTAAGACATTTCTCTATAAGTCCCACCTCTTCAAACTGGGCGAGAGCCTTAGTGGCCATTTCCTTGGTAAGTGACTTCGCAGCATCTCGTTTTTCTCTCAGCAATTTTACTTTTGTCTCGTCTTCATGAGCACTCCTATTTGCATGGTTCACCTAAGAATGTTGTCATCAGGTAGTGTATGAATGTTTCTCCCTCTGAGCTTTATCCGCTAGAAGGCATCTCAAAAGTTGGACTTCTAGTAGATCAGATGGCCTAGTGGAGGACATGCAAAAGAGTGACTGGTAATCACTTGGAAAATTCTTTGGGAAGGAAAAGTGGCGATCAGAAAACTCCACCATGTTAAAGGCAATATTATTCCACAAAGAGGGTTTGAGAGTGATATATTCATCCCACGTTTTCTTCTCCCTTTCTACTACCTCGCGGCTTTCCGATGGCCTAGAGGGGCCCTCCTCCCACCGTGGAATCTTGGGAGGGCAGTCCTTTCCAGCCCGTGAGGTTTCACATAGCCCCGTCTCGTCGTCAACAGCTACACTCAAGAGAGGTCTTTGCCATTTCTTCTACAGAGAATGAATCGTTATTAGCATGTATAAAATGATAAGCATGAGATCATATTAAAAGGTATTTTTTGTAACATAATGCATACTTAAATATTCCTCTACCTCGTTGTTGTCTTCAAGGTCCCGAGTAATGAGGGTACGAGTATCTAAAATTCAAAAACATTTTAAAATTTGGATTACTTCCTGATCAAGGAGAGAAATAGCCCATGGGTCCACCCCTTGGATAATCTGAAGATCTAACGTCCATGATAGAGGAGAAAAGGCCATCACGCGCCCCCGTAGTCACTGGAGAGGCATCATCTCGCCATCTTACTCGCACAAACCTATCTTCCCAATCCTCATAAGGTATTGCAAAGAGCTTCAGTAAACAGTCGTTTGGCAAAGGATGCAATGTTACACAACATTGTTGGGAAGAACTTCTATAAAGAAGGAAAGGAACACCCCCCCCCCCCCCCCCCCACACACACACACACACACACAACAAGCGATACGCCCAGGCTGCAACAGGATATCTGAAAAGCTTTAAGCATGCTTCATACATTTGGAGTAATCTAAGAAGTGGTGATGTTGACGGTTGTCGGGAAATCTACCTCAAAGGAAGTAAAAGGGATTAAGACCCACATCTCATGAGTAACAGGTAGGTGGAGGTAAGAATAAATAACAGATGAATCACCTGAGGTTACCATGTTGGCCCTCTCCGTACCTAAACAGAGCTTGGATAGCACATCCTCCTCACTTCCTATGATGGAGAACCTAATGCCACTGTGAAACTTGTTGATCATGTAGAAATTGGAGTACAAGGACGCAATATATTGGACATGAATGAGTTTGGATTTCTTACCCATAATTATTTGGAGTTAATAGAACAGAAATACAATGTTTCTACCATGGGAATTTATATTACACTTAAGTACCATTTGAAGAAGATGAAATGTATTAGAGCATAGTGACATTGTTGGATGAAAGCTCAGCCTGAGAGTTGACGATAGCGACACTGTTGACAACAACCCTCCATTGAAGACCAACTTTATTGAAGACAACGATAGCGACATTGTTGATAATAACCCTCCATTGAAGACGAACTTCATTCATCAATTGTTTGCAGAAAAAACTCTAAGGTATGAACTAGCACAAATAAGTTACTAAAAATGTTAGCTTTCTTCTTTACCCAACTTACTTAGTACTTCTGATACTATATGTAGGTTGATTAGGTCATAGAGAGTAAGTTTAAGTGTGTTGTTCATCATTCTGGTGAGATTTATAAGAAGTTTGTCAATTTTACCAAGTCAGATTATGTAGGGTTAGAGGATATATGAGATGTTGATCCTGATTATTGGAGTTACTTTGAAATATTGGACAAGTTAAAAGAGTTAGGTTGCCCTGCTATAGATAGGCTTTGGTATTATGATGACATGTTTGACAATGATAGGATTTAGTTAGAAAATGACAAAGGGACTGATAGGATAAAAACAATTGCAATGTTAACTGGGGAATTCCATTTGTATGTTACACTTCCTGCGTCTGAACTTGATGTTATTGAGGAACATATACTCTCACTTCCAGATGGAAACATATTGGGTGAAGATATGTTTGGTGAAAGGCCTGATATGGTAAATAATAAAGATGGGACCACAATGTTTGAAGATGTGGTTAGTGAAGTACATGAAATGGGAAGTAATGAAGGTGGGACCACAATGGGTGGAGATGTGGTGGAAGAGGGGACAACAATTGAGGAAGTTGAGGAGAATGTTGGAATTGAGGAAAATGTGGGTCATGTGAGGACCATCTGTGAAATTGAGGAGAATGTGGATCAAGAGGAGACAAACTATAACAATATGGAAGATGTGGGGACCACCTATGAAATTGAAGAGAATGTGGGTCAAGGGATGAGTGTTGAAGTAGAGAAAAACAATGAAAAACTGAACTGTAACCAACAAGAAGATGAGGTAGTTAATTGTAACCAAGAAGATGTGGCAGAAGATGGAAGTGATGGCAGTGCTTTGAATGTTAATTTTGAAGACTCGGAGAATGATATAGGTATTGGTGGAGAGATAGAAATTGATGAGGATGAAGTGGATACAACTAATAAAGAGAGTGGAAAAAGTAAGGCAAGAGGCAAGGGGAAAAGTAAGGGGAAAGTAAAATGGAAAGTTAAGAGGAAAGGAAAAAGCAATGAAAAAGGCAAGGGAAAAGGCAAGGGGAAATGAAAAAGTAATGAAAAAGGGAAGGAAAAGGTCATTGTTATGAATGAAGGTCTTGATAATGATGGTGAGGTCAATCTAGAGAATTTGAGAGGTTTAAGTGACATTGAGGAGTATGACAATGATAAATTTCCTACTGAGTATGACAGTGAGAATGATGAGGTTGTAAAGGATGATTTTGTAACACTTAAGCTCCAAAAAAAGAGTAGAAGACTACAATTGGGAACTTGGTACATATTTTTCTACAAAGGGTGTGCTTCAAGAGTCAATAAGAACATATGTTATTCATTCAAGAAGGAACCCGGAACTTTAAAAAAAATGATAAAGCAAGGATGAGAGTAAAATGTAAGACAGGTTATCCATGGGATGCCTACTGTGCAAATATAAAAGGTGAAGAAACTTAGCAATTGAGGACAATTGTGGACAAGCATACATGTAGTAGGGATTATAAGATTAGGTTCCTCAATTCAAAATGGTTGGGCAAGAAGATTCAAACAAGTGTTAGAGAGAATCCAGCTTTGAAGTTGACTGATATTATGGAGAGGACACATGAAAAGTGGAATGTTGGGATTAACAAGACATTGGCATATAGAGCAAAGACACTACTTATTGACATTGTGAATGGTTATTTTAAATAGCAGTATAGAAGAATCCATGATTATGGCCATGAACTCTTGAGGGCAAACCCAGGATCAACTGTCAAGATTACAAGTCAACCAGTTCAAGGGGAAAGCAGTGAAAACCCTAGTCAATTGAATCCTCACTTTCAAAGGATGTATGTATGTCTCAAAGCTTGCAAGGAAAAAAAATTAAGTACAGACCTACTATAGGATTAGATGGTTGTTTCCTAAAGGGATACTATGGTGGACAAATACTAGTTGTTATTGGGAGGGACCCAAATGACCAAATGCTACCAATTGCATATGTTGTTGTTGAGGGTGAAACTAAAGACTCATGGAGCTGGTTTCTAGAATTATTAATACCTGATTTGGGAGAAGCCAGGTTGTGCAAAACCTATACATTCATTAGTGATCAACAAAAGGTTAACTTTCACCTTAAATTTTAACTCTTAGCCAATTGTGTTAACTCCACCATCAATCTTACTTAATTATGAATGCAAGGTTTGTTGCCAGCTCTTGATAAATTACTTGGTAATGTTGACCAGAGATTATGTGTTACGTATTCTGTTTACTTAAATGTTGCATATGAGGTAACATGGTATTCTGAATTACTTGCATGACCTACTTGGTTTACACTTACTTTATATTGCAGACATTTATATAGCAACTTTAGGAAGAAGTTTCCTGGCCTGAAATTGAAAGAATTGATGTGGAGGGCTACAAGTGCAAGTTATGTAAAAGCTTGGGAGAAAATAATGATTGAAATAAAGGGAGTTAATGAAGAGGCCTTCAAACATCTCATAAAATTTCCACCAAGATTCTAGAGCAAATTAAGGTTACAACCAAGTTCAGGTTTGAACACTTTGGTTAACAATATGTCTGAGGCCTTCAATTATGTGTTTATAGCTGTTAGATCCAAGCTCATTGTGACAATGCTTGAAGAAATTAGAGTTTATCTAATGCAGGGATGGGAATCCAGTAGGCAAAAGATTGCCAAATACAAGGGCATCATACTACCTAACATCAAAAAAAGGATGGAAAGAGATTCACAGAAAACCAATCATTAGATTGTGAGGTAACATGGTTGATTTGTTGAATATTACTTTCAAATGGCTCTTTTTTACATTGACTAAAATTAAAATGGCTACTTGTTTACAGGTGTGTAGGTGAATATGACTATGAGGTAAGGCATATTTCATTCAACGGAGAAAAATATGATGTCAACCTTTATAAGAAAAAATGCTCATGTAGAATATAAATGTTGACCAGACTTCCATGTTGTTATGCAATGTCTTGCATGAAGGATCAACATTTAGTGGTTGATGACTTTGGACCTAAATGTTACAAGAAGGAACAATATTCAGCTTGCTATGCACCTGTTATATATCCACTTAATGGGGAAGCCTTGTGGAAAAATATTAGTGTTGATGATCTTCAACCACCACCGATAAAGAGGCAGTCTGGAGGGCCAAACAAAAAAAAGGAATAGGAAAGCTAGAGGAATTGTGAGGGATGAGACACACATGAAGAGGGCAAGATATGGTATCAAGTGTAGTCGTTGCCACAAGAATGGTCACAACAAAGCCACTTGTAAACTACCACAATCACAAGCTCCTCCAAGTCAGGTACAACAAGCAACAACACAGCCACCAACAGTAGTTTCAAGTCAGATACAAGATGCAACAACTCAACCGCCGCCACCAGTTATTACAACTCAGCCACCACCTCCAGTTGTAACAAGTCAGACACCACGATCTATTGTTACAAGCCAGCCAGCCACCACAAGTTATTACTAGTTAGCCACCACTCAAAACTAGAAGAAAAAAACTTCATAGGGGTGGCAAGCCTGTTTCAAGTCAACCTTGATCATTATTATGATGTCTGCTCAGATTTTGTAATGTCATTTTGTAATGTCTTTTAATGTCCTATATGTTTTGTTTTTGTAAGGCACATTTTGGAATTACGTAAGACACATTTTGGCCAATTTATAATGGTCCATCTGTTTTGTAGTTGTACCACATTTTGGAATGTCATATTAATGTCTTATAATGGCCTTTTGCTATTTAACCAGTTATGTATCAAACTTCAGATCTGTTAATGAAAGTTGAAATGGCTTATAATGCCAAGTTATATTATTGTATGGTTTCCATAAAGTCTCTTAATTTTATAATTGTTTCAAATTGGCCTACATTCTAATTTGTAACAGGTTAAATTATTGGTCCTTGAACTACATTTTTTACAAGTGAAATATTGAGACAAATTTGTATCAGTTACGTATCACAAAATTGTACCAGCTATGTAGCACAAATAATTATGTTGAAATAGACACATACACTATTTATTAAACCAACTTACCAATATATTATTCATTAAACAAGCTTAACAAAAAATTAGAAATGTAAAAACATAACATTGAACTACCTTAATTCTAATTGAAATACATTGTTACAAACACAAGGTTCAACCCTAAGCTCAACATCCCAACCACAATGGACATTTTCAGTTATCCTCTAGTGTAGATAACTTTATTCTTCAATTTGTTAATTTTCTTCTTTTGTCTTTCAAGGTTCAAATTTCTTTCGCCAACAAACTTATCAGCTAACCACTTGAAGAAATTACAACCCTTTTCAATGTGATTTTTGTAATTTCTACAACCCCAAAATTTTCTCCCCTTGTTGACATTGTTCACATCATTCACTGTTTTAAGAACACTTTCATCTTGACAAAAATACTTCATATTCTTGTTTCCACGAATCATAGATCCAGATGTACCATAACTTTGGTTGTTTGAAGTTGAAATATTGCTTGCAATATTTGACATTGAACTCTAATTTGAAGGAAAAAAATGGAAGATGGAAGAAGGAAAAAATAATAAGTGATTTAACCCTAATTTAAAGAAGAAAATGGAAGATGGAAGAAAGAAAAAAAAAAGGTGATTTAACCCTAATTTAAAGAAGAAAATGAAACAAGAGGAAATATGGAAGATGAGCAAATGGAACCTTATGTAACGTAATATAACCATGTGTTGATGTGCAAGTAAACATTTGTTTACTTGGCATGTCAACTCACACAATAATGTTTTTTGACACAAACTAACGGAAAAGATCAAATAATTTAATGGAACTTAAGTTAAAGGATCATTATGCAACATTTTTTAGTTTGGGGAGCAAAATGAAACTTCACTCAAACTTAAGGGACCTATGGACTAATTATGCTTATAAACTAACATTCTTGCATTTCCTACTCATTTGATACCTAAATCATCATTTTCTGCTCATTTACACAAAAATTCAAAAAAACTCCAAAAATAACTTATCAAAGCATCAAAAGTATACATTTCTTCACTTTGCTTCAGTGTTAGATGATATTTTTTATGTTGATTGAAGATCCTTGGAGCTTAGTTGTTTGATTTTGGACTTCGAAAAAATTTGAATTTGAAAAGATTTTGAATTTTTTACAAAAATAAAGAAAGAGACGGGTTTGGCGTGATTTAAGCTCTAATACATTTCAGAGATGTATTTCTAGAATAAATTTGAAGATGCACCTCCAAAATATTATAAAATTAACTCAAAATTTAATACATCCTAAAGTACATCTCCAAAACCTGAGTCTGCAAACCTACGAAGTATAATAACAATGACAGTTTGCAGAGTTTTAAGCGTCTTACAATTTAGTGTCCAACAACTGAAACACAGGAGCTTAAATACTTATTTGTTAAGTGTTTAAATGCGTGAAAAATAAGTCTTAAACCGACAATTTGACATGTTAATCTAAAGGAAAATTATTAAATTTTGAGTTACTAGTAGATAGGCAAATTGTGTTGGGAATTGGGATTGCATTTTGTTCTAGTTTTCTCAGTTGCAAACTGAGCTTATAAATAAAAAACTTTAAATTGTAGGAGTTATGGATGCTCAATTTAACCGAATACTTAAGTTATTGAAACCCTTATTTAAATCCTATTACTAAAAACCGGTTAATTATGTCACGTTAACCAGTTCAGTTTCAGTTGATAATTATGCAACGAAATTGCATAGTAGTAAGTTCAAAAGCACGCACGCATAAGACGAGTAACCCAACTCCAATTTTCACTCAAGCCAATATTAACCCAATTCCAATTTGAACTTGTAAGAAAACAAGCATAGGACGAGTAACATTGTAATATGAACACATAAGACATAAATGTTTTACAATGTCATGCATGAAACAATCAGCTTAACATTGATTAACAAAGACAAATGAAAACAAACTGAAAGAAAGGAAGAAAAAAACAATAATAAACTAGAGTGAATATTCAAATGCATATAAACAAGAGCTTGAGGCGATAGCTTAGACCCTGCAGTACAGCAAACAGAACAAAGTAGAAACTACAACTTAACAAGTCAGTATGTTCATAAGCCCTCACCCAGTGAATATTAATTAAGATTAAATGCAGAAAATGGATACTTTGGATATGTTAAATCTATGTAAAAATCATGTGAAAATGCCAAAACTCTAGCATTGTTGATAAACAAAGGGTTGTGAGGTAGAGAAAATATCTCAAATATCCTAGTGACCAATATCTTAGAAGAATCCTCCTCCTTCAAGATATGCACTATATGTGAATACCCCAATTTAGGGTATTCAAGACAACCAACAATGCGATTCAAGAGTTGGAAACTAGCCTCTTGACTATATGATAAAATAATAATCAAATCCATTTGTGATTTCCTCTGCAATGTGACCAATTTATGTTGATATGTTAGCCTCAAGAGCTTTTGGGTGGGGGGTAAAACCATATAATCCTTATCTGCTACTTAATACTCATTCACTTGAGTGATGTATTTTCCAACAATGCAGAGAGGTGAATGGTTATGTGGGCTATGTCAGTAAAGATATAATGCTTCTTTAGCATCATCTTGCATAGAAATAAATATTACGCGAAATCAGGAAAATATTAAGGTGGTAAAGATATTAATGCTTCTTTAGCATTTATCTTGCAGTTCTCCGGACAAAACACTCAAAGAAACAAATAACTCCAGCAGCAAATATTACCAGTTCATTGTGCTTTTTTACTTTCTTAGGATGACACCATATGACAAATCCTACAACAGTTATACACATCCCAAGAAAGCATCTTTTGACTTTATTAATTCCTAAAGTAGTGTTCTTATTACTACTAGTTAAACATAGTGCTGATTAGTTCACTTCTGTCCTGATCGCAGCACTGTAAAAAAACAATTAATCCAAAGTAACTAAATATCTCTTGAAAGAATCAAAATAGAGAACCAACTTTTTGATAAATTCAGCAGATAAAAATTCCATTAATCCTTAACCAAACAAGAAGGCATCCCTAGCCTTGGTCTGTCCAAAAGAAAGGAGGAGCAGTGACAAATCTTAAACATTATCAGCCCATAAATGGTATCATAAATCAAGGTTTGATTACACATCACCGCTAAATATTTCTTTTTCTGTCTCTCATTAACTTGAGTCCATACAGCAGAAAATCAAGAACTGATATATTACATCCCATCCAGAGAAGACCCAAGATAGCTTGAATTGACATGACCCTCTTTTTTGCGACAAATTCCCAAATATATTGCTCTAAATAGCAATGTTCCTTTGTCTCCAAATTGTAGGCTTCATAACATCCATAAGCTTCAAAGGCCGTCATCCTATGGCAGCCACTTTATTATAATAGATCTGTTAATAGACAAATTGACTGGTGACCATAATGTCCAACCTTCGCCAGCCCTTGCGAAAAGATAAGAGATACCATTTCGAGTATAGGTATAGCGAAATCTCTAGAAAAATATATCTATACCCTATGCATTCTAATGTAATACAC